TCAGTATTGCATGTACCGGGCTCGGCGCATCATGCTAACTGCATTAGTATTTTCGAATCTGACTTGAATACATGCTACTTGTGCATTTTCACATGTCATTCATAGACTAGCCGAGCTACTCTAGTGACATTCCGTATGCGTTGCATTAGACATTTAAACATGGACTTGGATCATGCATTGATTGCTAACGAGTTCTTTGTTTTAGCACGGAGTACGATGTAAGTATTTATGCTTTAGCATCCTTGCATGCGTGTGAGTGTTGCCATGATAGCATGATTACCATGAGGTTAGTTGCTTATGTGATATAACTGCTTGAATGCCTGTGGGTGAAGGTTGGATTGTCTGAGTTGGAATAGCTCATTGAAATCCGTGTTTTAGCCTACTTGCGAGTAGCAAATTCCAAAACATTTTTTCCAAAACAAACGGATATGCAATGCTTATTCCCAAATTAGGCAATCTAGTCTATACTTTTGTGCTGTACGCATAACATAGTAATTCTAGGCTAATAACTGGAATAAAAACACATAATGCTTTCAAAACAAGATATCACGGTTAGTAGAGGCCGATCTTCGGATCGGGCGAAAGGGGGTGCTCATAGCTGACCTTCCCCAATCGTACCCAAGTTCCCGAGCCGAGGCAACTTTGGTGATGACGGACACGTGGCCTTTGACACCGAGTCAGGGTTTCTTAAATTCCCCCAAAATAAAATATTTAGGTGGCGACTCTGTATCTGGTAAAGCAGTCCATGTTTGGCACTTCTTTTTCTAAAAATCTTTTCTCAAAACGATTTGCCAGATTTTGACTCTTTGGTTCAGATTAAGAACCGTGACACAAATCGAGTCCGAACTGTAGCGGGGTCCTTCGCGGACGTGTTACACCCTGCACAATATCACAAACATTGTACAATACGGAATTTAACAGGTCTGAACATTCACGTTGACAGATGTGAACATTAACATCATTCCCAGTGAACATTATATGCTTATTATGTTGTCAACTTAAATGATAGACAAATGTGAATGTTAACAACGACAAAATATGACAGGTGTCAACATTCAAATCTGCAATACATTGCATGACTGTTTGACAAATTAACAGGTGTGAACATTCACATCATTCACACCAGTCATCTTTAGCAGATGTGAACATTCACATCATTTACATTGAACATGAAACACAATTAGAAGATTATTACCATTCTAAACTGAAAATTCACATCGCTACAATTCTAAACTTCACAAATGGAACACCTTAGGAAACTATTATCACCTGAAGTATGAATTTGCCCAGTGCTCAGGTGCCAAGTCCTTGAAAAAATTATGAGCTCGTTGTTTACCCTCCTCTTTTAATTTTGCAAGATTTTCATGGAACCCTGCCACAGTTGGCTCGTAAGCACAGTCACCCAAACTACTTACTAGGTGATCCCTGAATCCATTATCAATTCCTTTTATCCGGTCTCTTAAATTGCTTTTTAAGTGTTGTAAGCAATAACCGTGATGAGGCGATGGGAACACCTTTGGCATAGCTTCTAACAGACCAAGATTACGATCCGAAATAAAAGTAATCTGGCGCTTACCATTAACAACCTTCCCAAGTTCATGCAATAACCATGACCAATTGGCCGTGGTTTTTGAATCAAGAATCGCAAATGCAATAGGAAACAAACCTACAACACAACACCAATACACAACTATTCACAATATTCTAAAGTGAATAGAAAACAGTATAAACGAAACAGGTCATGTGAATGCTTATATTTACATTGCCCTATTACTATTGTTATTTTTGGATTTGGGTTCGTAAACATCAACAATGTGAACATGCACATTAACGACCATTAATAATTCATTGTTGATTGTTGAGTCATTGATAATGTGAACATTCACAATAATGTTCATTAATGGATCAACTGACATTAGTATACACTGATGTGAACATTCACATCAGCGTATACTAATGTGAATGTTCACATTACTGTCATTAGCAGACACAGATGTGAACATTCACATCAGTGCATACTAATGTCAATGTTCACATTACTTATAATTTTTCAATCACTCATTTGTCCAGACTATGCTGCAGAGAATGAATATCGACATGAATAGACAGTTAAAAAAAATACTAACCATTGTTTCCGTCTTTCGCCGTTGCCGCAAGTAGTTGACCTTTGTACTTTCCTTTGAGGAATGTTTCATCCAGGAATAATAAAGGCCGACAAGAATTGAAACCAGAAATACACGCAGCGAATGACACAAAGAAACAACAAAACTGTTGACTACTCGCATCATAGTCAATATTGACGTAACTCCCCGGATTGTACCGCATCACGGCATCCGAATACCACCGCAGCTGGTCAAACGATAATGAGTGATCTCCATGAATACCAGCCTTTGCTTTCTCCACACCCAACCATACGACATGGTAACTCACATCTAGTCCACAATCCCTCTTCAAAATAATCACCACCTCACACGGCCGAGTCAACGGCTTGTCCCTCACAATTTTATATATGGTACTCGACACCAAATCCGAACTAACTCGCGGATTCTTCGATGTTCGGACATCCGTACCATAACTATGCACATCACTAAACCTCTTGATGTAGAAAAAATCATTTGCTCATTGTGCTCTACAATGTATAGCCCACAAGCAGCCTCTCTCCTCACTCATCGCACACACAGCATTAACTCTTGTTGTCTCGTTCTTGACATACGTAAACTGAAACCCACATTGGATGGCATACTTACATAAAACCTCACGAAATTCTTGTGCACCTCCAACAAACCGTTGTCCCATATGCGTAATACCATTTGCCTAAGGGGCTGACAACAATACCTTCTCCTTATGGTGGCAAAATCTTCGTAGCGCATCAATATCTTCCTCAACCCCCACACGCAGCGATCCCGAGCTACTTGACTGACCAATATCACTTTTTAACTCAACCACAACTTCTACATGTTGTACTCCCATTGATTTAGCAAGCAGTAACATGTTTTGAAATTCTTCCTCATTGTCCAAATCACATCTATTAATCTCAGGTAACCGACAGAGCAATGAAATAGAACCAGCAGACAACTCCCCCCATTTTTCACACAAACAGTCTACCAAACGCGAATAACACAATGCGCGTGCAGCATTTATTACAGTGGTACTGTAACCATATGTACACACCAACATCATAAAGGTATCCATCTCTTGTAAAAACAAAACAACATAACAATTAACAATAATCCAAACCAATATGAAAATTCACATTGTGCAAAAATTAGATGAATATGTGTACAGTTCAAGTGTTACATCCATAATTCACATTAATAAGATGTGAATATTCACATTGATACATATGCTCTGAATTATATCACCCACACAAAGCCTCATTAAGCAAACATTAAAGTAAAGCGAGAACATCCACATTATTCATATAATATTACCACGATGTAAACATTTACATTGCCATATATACTCTGAATTTATATCACCCACACAAAGCCTCATTAAGCAAACATCAAAGTAAAAATGCAAACATCCACATTCTGCACGTAACACTAACATGATGTAAACATTCACATTGTTCCACAAACTCTGAATTATAGCAGATCCACATTCAACACTAATCTGATGACCTCCCCTCCACAGGACCACGATGTAAACATTCACATTGATCCATAAACTCTGAATTATGTCACTCACACAGAGCCTCATTATGGATACATCAAAGTAAAAGGAATATTATAACATTTTTCACATAATCTGAATGACCTCCCCTCCACAGGACCACGTATGATGCATGTAATTGAAAAACCAGAGCATCCGATCCATAGCAATAAAAAAACAGAGCATCTGATCCATCCTAGAAATCAAAACATAAAGTGAACATGTATTCATAACCAAAATGATACTAACCTTAATCATGCAATCCTACAATTGTCCAGAAACTCGAAAACAATCGCTTTGAAGTAGTTATACTCCAGAAAATGTGAGAACTAAACAATATGAAATTCATCGTCTTCACTTGAAAATCACCAAACCAGAGCAGCAATGAAACCCTAGCACATCAAAGCCTCAGAACGATAGCATGCAAGATAGAAACGTATCCATTTGAATTAGAATGATAAAAACTGCCAAAATTGAATCACGAAATCACAGGGACGTGTTATGTATTAACACAGTGTATATATATATATATATATAAGGGCATAATAGTCCATGTTATATAAAATTAGAAAAATGGACTTTATGAAATAAAAAGAAAAGTATATGGGATTAATCAGATTATAATATTTCTTTGTGGACTTAATGGGTTATAACAATTCTAAGATGAATTTATCAATAAAAATTCCTAAAATAAATTATATATTTTTTAAAACAAAAATAATAAATTAAATAAGTTATAATTATTAAATTCATATAATTTTTTTTTTATTTTTTTTAGATAAATAAAATATTTTTTTTAGCTTGGTGTCTAATAGTGTGGTAGCTTCTCCTTCTGCCACGTGGCAAATTTTTCTATCCTAAAATAAAAAAATGTTATTCAAAGGCATGAGCAAGATTTGAACCCAAGACCTTGGGTTTCATTAAGAACACTCTTACCATTTAGACAATATACATATTATTGCATTAATTTCATTATTATTTGTTTTTATGCTTATTTATCTGAATTGCACATGCATCGCATGTGCCACACCACTAGTACTATTATATATGTGAGCACATGACTTGGTGTCTAATAGTGTGGTAGCTTCTCCTTCTGCCACGTGGCAAATTTTTCTATCCTAAAATAAAAAAATGTTATTCAAAGGCATGAGTAAGATTTAAACCCAAGACCTTGGGTTTCATTAAGAACACTCTTACCATTTAAACAATATACATATTATAGCATTAATTTCTTTATTATTTGTTTTTATGCTTATTTATCTGAATTGCACATGCATCGCATGTGCCACACCACTAGTACCTTATAAAATGTACGAATTAAAACGACATCCTAAACCATTACGGACAAAACAACCTTCTCCCGTCCAGATCTAACGGGAGGAACCCTCCAAAATAAAAATTCGGATAAACCGTAAACGAGGACGGGTGCCCATTGTTGCCATTTTGGGTAGTTGAATGTTTGGTGTCGTATTTGGGTGCTCACAGTTCCTAATATCGCCTAAACAAGTTGATCAAATGCGAGACTGTTAGTTTGCTCAATCTCGAATGCAAACCCTAATCATCCCCTGTTTTCGATCCAATCCTCCACTCTCTCACCATTCACTAAAAATTTCAGGTAAATTATATACATACATCAATTTCTATATGTGCATTGTTGGGTTGTCTCTGTTTGGTAGTTGAGAGAAAGCAGGAAAAATGGAAGGAAACCAAATTCTCGATCTTATTTTTTCATTAATGAGATAACATCATTAGGAATTTCCATGTGGGGGCTAGATTTCTCCGCACCCTAATGAGAAGATACCAAAGCTTGAAAAGGTTTAAATTTATTTATTTAGTTGTTTTATACCAATACGATTATGAATGTAATGCTATGCTAATACTCGTTCAAATGCACTGAAAATTGAAGGGTTTTTATAAGCATTGTTGTTTCTAGAGTAGTTCAGAATCTGGGGTTGTAACTTATAAATGTTCATCCTTGTGCTCTGTGACTGTCAGTTTGGTTGCTGTGAAAACCCAAGAAAAACAAAATAGATTTTTGACAACATATTATATAAGCTCATCCTGATTATGCCTAGAAAACTTCCATTAGATTGCTTATTTTTCGGGTCCCAAGTATGGTAGGGCTGAAAATTTAAACTTTTTTTTCATTATTGTATTTCCTCAAATTTTCTTAGCAGCCAAATGAAGCATCAAAAGTTGGGTCTCACCAATTTTTATTCATACACTTTAAAATTGACTTAGGTTCTACATAGGTATCTGTTCAAATGTACTGAAATCTGAATGTTGTTATCAATAATGCTATTTCTAGTTTGGTTGCTGTGAAAACCCAAGTAAAACAAAACAGATTTTGACAACATATTTTACGTTAGTCTAGTTTTGAAGAAATATAAGCTCATCCTGATTATGCCTGGAAAACTTGCCTTAGATTACTTATTTTTTGGGTCCCAGACAAGGGTAGAGTTGAAGTATTAATTAATTTCCTTTTTAACATTATTTTACTTCCTCAAATTTTCTTAGCAGCCAAATGGAGCATCAAAATCCGGGGTCTCCCCAAATTTTATTTCCTACACTGTTTAGAATTAACTTAGGTTCTTATAATTATCTGAAACTCTGATTTTCAGAAGACAGAGATACTATTTATGTTAATATTCATGTTTTTTACCCCTCTATAAATTAAGGTTTTTGTCGATAAACTATCTTATAATGTATTTCATTGTTAATTTTTGAACTTGTAGAATGCTGATGGGCCGTTCAGATGTGCTGCCAGAGTTTGGTTCATCAAAGGATTTACTGCATTCTGGTCCTGTATCAGATGCTAGTGAAGATGAAGAAGTTGATACTTCTGAGCAGATACTGTACACAGCCTCTTTCAAAGAACTTGCCGCAAAAAATGTGCAATATGACACCATTATATGGGTTTCAATATCCTTGCTGCTGGTTTTAGCTTGGGGAATAGGAATCATCATGTTGCTGTATCTGCCCATTAAAAGATACGTGCTTCAGAAGGATATTTCATCACGTAAACTATATGTTACTCCTCATGAAATAATTTACAAGGTAATTGATCTTTTTAATTGTCCTTGTGTTGCTATCTTGAAAGGGTAAAAGTATTTTGAAACGAATTATTTGTTTTTTTTTTTTCTGCTTCAAGGTGTCAAGGCCTTCCTTTATACCCTTTTGGGGAGTAATTACAATAGAAAAGCATGTACCCCTGTCGCAGGTGATCGATGTTATCATTGAACAAGGTACCAAATGAAAACTTATTGTTTTTTGTACTAAATCATTTGTTATCAGATTTCCATCATTGGTCATTTTCTGAAGTGATTTAATTTTAAGTTTCATTTACCCATTGAGCATGAATGAAAATCATGTCTAAGTTTTATGTGTATATAACTCATTTGAGGTAGATGAGCTGATTCAAGGTTTTTGTGCAAATTGCTTTGATTTTACAATAAAATTTGGAAAAATTGTCTGAGGCAAAAGATTTGACTAAATTGTTCAAGCTTTGGAAAGTTGGTTTGGTAAAATATAGACATTGAATTCTTTGCATGCACATACAAGCACATGCATTTTTTTAATCAGCTACAAACACATGCATTCATTTCCTCAAAAATGAAACCAACTACTAAAAGTTAGAAAGTTGCTAACAAGTTCAATAAAGCATAGCATAAAAAAATCTGGTCATTTTAATTTACAGCTTCATTCATTGAATGGCCTTCAAATGCTTTAATGTTCTCTTGAAGTTTGGATCCATTGATTTAACTCATCCCTATGATTTATTAATATTCAGCAGTCACGCTTCTGTGAAAGAACCCTGTGTGTATGATTTCTTTTGCTGTATAGATGAGTGAAAATGCAAGGAAATTAGAATAATGTTTTATATAGGATAAACCTAAAATTTGAGCATATCTGAAATAAAAGCAGTGAAATAGAAGAAAAGTTTGAGCAAAATTTGGCATATCTTCAATTTCATAGTATTATAATTCAACCTACTTTGCTTATTTTAACAGACTAATCTTCGTTAATTTTTCTGTCAAGAAGACAACTAGGGAATATATTTTCTTACTCTTCCCTTAGTATCATAATTCAACATACTCTGTTTATTTTTCGTTGTTAATTTTTACTCGTTAGTTTTGATGCATCAATATATTGCAGCTAGGTGCTTTTGTATTCAAGTTTGAAAAGGTCAAAAAAACTAATTACAGGGCCAAGTTATATTGAATTGTTGATAAATTATTGTTAACACTATCCAAGGCATCCCTCCCCTTGCTACAAAAATGCAGCTAGAGACAGAAAATTGGATGACCTGCTAGCCGTCATTTATGTGAACATTTCTTCCTACTTTTATTTTTATTTTTATTTTTATTTTTATTTTTTATAGGCCTCAGAAGTAACCACTAAGGGTGTGTTTGTTTGAACGGATTGGATAAAGGGGATTGTAATCCACCAGCTTATTAGTCCTGGGATACATTATCCCTGAACTATTTGGTTGGACTAGATTTGTATCTTATGTTTGTTTAGTCATGGGATTAGATGTCTGGATTGGATTATACTATTAAATCTTATGTTTGTTTGAGATATTAGGGAGAATGATAAATGTTCAAAAGACTATTTTGCCTTTTTGAATTGTTTACTAAATAATAGGAATATGAAAATCTGAGCTATAAATTTTATTAAATTTTTTTACTAGAACTTTTAAAAAATTAAATAAATTGAATATTAATAAAAATTACATAAATTTATTTTAATTTGCAGGTGAGATTTTTAAATTTTATTTTACTTTACTAAGCATAATTAATACCATGAATGCACCAAATATGAAATTTTTTTGGCTTCAAAGCAAACCCAACACTGAATTTGGAACACCTACACAAATGTAGGAACATCATCCCAGAAACACAAAGTTAACTTTTGAGGAATAGATCAACATTATACAAACAATATGTTACCCAAATGTCCTAATGAAAATAAAACGGTAAGATAAAAGTTATCATTCAACGCATCACATTAATATTCACCGCATAACCTAATATATAAAAAGAGAGGATAACAATTAGCATTCAACGTGTTACATTAATATTAATTACATAACCAAATATATAAAAAGCATCCCAATTATAGTTAACAAAATACGGGTGCTTGTACACAAAAGAAGCAATAATCAAGTCTATCAACAAGTTTATAATAGACTTAACAAAAAGCATTCCCTACCATACACATCAAATTATGCCCAAAAAGAAAATATTCCCATCAAATGCAACAGTTTGTTATGGAGCATGTCTACTTAGCAACCCCATCACCCACCTTAGCCCTTCATCATGTGTCAAGCTAAACAACATGTCAAGCTTTTGGACATCGTGGGATATGATTTCACAAGCACCTAACCTTTCATCTACAGTAATTGGCAACTTCGTAAGTTCATCGTTTAGTGATGCCCATTTAGATGCAAGATCATGTGAATACCCCATTTTTTTTCCAATGAATTCTAGCTTATCATTGGTTGTACCCAAGACATCCACCAATTTGTCAGAAAATATGGTCAGCCCTTCAACTACTTCATCATTGGCTCTAGGTCTTTTCTTGTCTTTCTTCTTGGTAGAACTATCAAAAGGCCGTTGAGTTGCTGAGTTTGAACTGTCCATTGCTTCACCGGTTTGACTATTTAATCTCATTTGTTCAAGAAAAGTGTCATTATCTGCAAGACCAGGCAACAACACATCTTCCTCAGCATTCATAGCCTCAATTGCATCACCAGGGCCTTCAGCAAACTCTCCTATAGCTCTATCTTTGCAAAATATTTGAATCCATTCATCCAAATGTGGGAAAGTTTTGTTTCTCAATTGTTTTGCATCATTGTCCCTCTACAATGACCAACTAATCCCAATTAATATCTTCAACATAAGGTTAAATTACATATACAATAGTATGTAAAGATGTAGCAAATTTTTGTTATGATCTAACAAATTGTTTCATAAGAGAATGACTACTATAACAGATGGAGTAGATGTGATCTTCCAATATTCGTAAGATGTAGCAAATTTTTGTTATGATCTTACAATAGTAGTTATGTAAACATGTAGCAATAACAAAAGGTAACTAAAAGGAGATAATTTTACCCAAACATGTGCCTCCCATACACTATCACTCTCCACGTCAATTCTTTTTTCAGTGTCATTCCATTCAAACCCACTAGTAGCAAGTGTACCAGACACAAAATTGTATTGCTTCTTCCATATTTTAATCTTTGATTTGATAGAGGGAGAGCCACGTAAATATGTCCAGGGTAACAACTCCGCCAATTTATTCTCCACTTTCATAAGATAGCCTTGAAAGAATTGTCAACTTTCATTCCATCATTGACAATGAACAACAAGGCTGAAATTAGACAGTCCTCTTCACGTGGGCTCCATATTTGCCTTGATTTTGATGAATCAACCTTGTCATTCTTTTTCTTACGAGAACTGGATACCTCATTGTCCATGCTTGCAATAATAATTGAACATTTCATATGCATTACAATAAAGTATAAATAACTCACAAACATAGATATCATAATACCAAGCATTGCAAATATAATTCAACATCCACAATGTCTATTATTCATAAAAGTACATAGCAATGTTGCATCACAAATTTAAATGGTTTAACAACAAATCAAAGTGGAACACAATTGTGATGCAAAGAAACACAAAGCTATCTTTATCCAGCCCCTCCATTAGCCAACCAATTGTTGTACAATTGCATTGCAAGTGTATCCCGCCACTCAGTCCACTAGTTAGATGTCTCGATAGTCTCAATAAAACCATCTCCCATTGGGGGTTGATTTTCTAAGGCATCCTCTAAGTCTGAATCATCCTCTATAGGATCAATTGCCATCTCTTGTCGAAGGAAGTTGTGTAACAAGCAACATGCTGTGATAATTGATTTTGGGTTCTAATGGGGTAGTATGATGCACTGCGAAGTATATCCCATCTCATTTTCAACATTCCAAAACACCTTTTTCAATGATATTTCTGGCTGATGCATGTTTCATGTTGAAATATTCTTGTTAATTATTTGGAGTTGCCCCTTCTCTCCATACAGACAAATGGTATTGCTGACCATGGTCAGGTGCTAGGAATCCTTTCTCATTCGTATACCCCGCATCCACTAGGTAATAGTAACCTATACGTGGAATGTTACGGATTAGATTCAATTATTGAGAGGGAGATTAATGATATGGAATTTGTGCTGGAGAGATTTGGACCGGACAGAGTTGGGCCAGACAGATTTGGGCCGAACAGGTGTTGGGCCAAGTTGTGTGGCCCGGCTTTGAAGGAAGCTGCTCGGTTAAGGCAGCGCGTTGATTGACCGAGCTGCAAGGATCCGTGGTTACGAAGCCGGTCAGGTGAAAAGTCCAGCGCCTGGAAAGGCAAGGTTGGACCGAGGTACCTGTTTGCTCGATAGGTTGGTTGACCGCAGACAAGCGTAAGTAGTCCCGAGCTCGGCTTTGCCGAGATGCCGCCGAGTCTGGTCCTCATCTGAGCTTAGCTGTTGGAGTACTTGGGCATGAAGCGCAGCATGGCAGACGATGGCCGAGATGGAACTGCCTGGCTGCCGAGCTCCCAGGAGAATGGGCAGGTAGTTGGGTTAGGTGGTGCTCAGCAAGGTTTATGCTGACAGATGGGATAGCAGTGCCACGTGTTGAGAGGTCACTGGGAGTAGATTTGGGGCGCAGAAGGTATATAAGCACGTCTGCGCCCCCCATACGCAGACAAAAAAAACATTTGGTGAGACGTACACTAAACACTCAACACTCTCCCTTTTCTCTATCTATCCCCTGGTGTGTGTTCTAACTTGACCGTCGGAGGGGTTTTCCGGCCACACCGCCGGGTAGCTCACCGCCTTTGTGTATGCAGGTGATCGGATAGAAGCGGAGCTTGGAAGAAAGGAGTACGGGCTTGCTTGAATATTTGCTCCCCGTACAATTGGCGCCGTCTGTGGGAACTTGACAGACAAAACCTTGTCTTTCAGGCTCATCTGATCGCCGTTCATGGCAAACAACGATGAGATTCCGTTGTCTGCCATCGACGGAGCCACCCCGGAGTCAGGCAGACGGAGAGAAGGGCATCCCACCATCGTTCCTCCGATGGCGGACTTGGAGACTTCTCCTGGAGGACATTCAAGAGATGCGCGGGATAAGCGCGGAAGAAGTTATGGTCAGTCACGGAGTCCAGACGGTCATCGGCGGCGGAGAGAATCACAT